AGCAGTGCCACTTTAATAAGAAAAAGAAAAAATCCGTTTCCCGAAAACTAGATTCAAATCTGATTATTTCCTCTTTAAGCATGGACAGAATGTGAATGAACTCAGTCCCGAAGAGTGCGCTATTTAACTTACCGTTTGTGTTTTGACTAGTAGTACAAAGAAGTTGCTAACAAAACACCACCGTATCCAAGATAATTTCACCATCTGTGCCTGAAAATCCCTTTCCAGCGAAAGTGAGGTCGCAGCAGAATTTAAAAGCCCTGAAATGACTTCAGCTTTTTTTTGACAATATTTTCATCGAAGAACGCCTTAAAGAGACTAGCAAGACCGCTGGTCAGTAAATGTGCAGCGTCGGGTTAATGATGATACGGAGTTGTGCGATATTATAAACTACAGCTTCTCCGAAAATGTGCTTTATTGCTAATCTGCTTCAAGAGCAAAAATTCTTCCCCCCTAAAAATTCATAAATTTTAAACTTTCACCTCCAGTCAAATATACTGCTTTATTCGACAAAGTTTAGCTATATAAAGCGCACACGTCAGCCGGCTGTGCTGCATGGATTCGCTTCGAGCTCCTGAGTATCTCTTCTTTTTATGTACGTTGCGTACGATAAGAATATATTGCTTGCGATAAGAACTGAGTCCCTCACAAGCATAATGAACCTCTGATCCTCGAATTCACCCCTTTCTTTTCCAGTTTCGTGGGAGTGATGTAGTATTAAAAAGGTATAAATAAATGCTCGCTTTTTGAAAAAAAAGTGGAATTGGTCGCGCCGCTGTCCTTCCTGTTCTGCTAATCCTCTTTTGAACCTTCCTCCGTCTTTCGCTTCTTACTCCCTCCTTCTACAGTAAATCGGACCACGTCATATTGGATAAGCATAATCCTTGATATCTTTTCCACCCTTGCCAACTTTGTTGAGAAATTAGTGGATTTTATTTCCCTTTCATCGGTTGTGAGCAGGTTTGCCAGACCTCTGCTCCATTTCATGCGTTTTTTGTATGTCTATATAAATAAGACCCAGACTGGAATGCCCTAGGCTTACAGGTGCGATCATATGTTTTTGCTCCAGACTTGAAGTACTTAGGTCGTTAACTGCATGAACGGTTGTTGCTTTAGACCATGCGTGGACAGCCTGCGACCAGCGGGCCGGATCCGCCCGCGATTAGTTTTAATCTGGTCCGCGAAGGGAATCGGGATGTGGCGCCTAACTAGACGAGCGGGGATTTGCGATTTATTCTCCGCCACGCTTCTTAACTCTCATGAAAATAAAACTACGCACAAGGCTAGCAGATGACAGTCTGAAAAATGCTTTAAGGCTCTGTTTCAGCGATATAAATTCAGATTTCAACAATCCTGTGTCAAAAATTCAAGCCCAGAGTTCACATTAACCCCCTGTTGTTTACTTTTATGTTTATGCTGGTCCGGTGAGAAAAAACGCATATAGTCAAAGGGTCGTCCGTGTGTGGGTATGTGTGTGTATTCGGAAGCGAGTGAACATTAATCCAGCAACCAGAAGAGCTGGAGGCTATATACAAATTTCCATCCCATGCATCACTCTCCCGTTTTAAAAAATTCATACCGACCCTAAACTTCGTGTACCGTACAACGAAAAAAATGTGCAAATTTCCTTGACGGGAACGAAAAGACCAAAACACAGGCACATGAGTTGCAGTGTTAACCTGTAAAGCTATCAACGATCTGACTGCATAAAATTTAATGCAAAAACACATGCTGGCACGAGCAAACCTGGTGCGTTGTTGCCTGAGTTTTGTTAAAAGGTGGTCCGCGAGCTCAAGTAATTATATAAATCAGGCCGGCCTCTCACGAAAGGTAGCCCGCGCTTGCTTTAAACCTATCTTTTGTGCTCAACAGTGAAAACCGTCGTAAATTTTGCATAAAAGAAATGAACAACTTTTGCTTAACGGGCGTTCTTTGAAAACGATTTAGCTATTCAGTAGGCAATTTTCCCGCCAAAACTTTTAAGTTTGAAATTCAGCCCTTGGTGTGCTTAATTTCATATTCATGGGCAAGGAATATTCCTCTAAAATACCAGCTTTCCAACTTTTCTGGTTACCGAGTTACTAATTTTCCCTACAAAACTCTCGCGTGCGCTCCCGTACTTTAGAGCCGCGCAAACCTAGAAGCTGAATTTGAAATCTTTAGCTCGTACATGCAAAGAGAATATTCCTGCAAAGTTTCAGCTCTTTATTCTTTCTGGTTTCCGAGATCGCTTTCCTGCCGAAAAAGTTGCATATTTTTTTAGGCGGGAAATGGTATTAAAACGGGTGGTTTGCACATGGTGTAGGTACATACTCCTGAAGTTTCAGCCCCTAGCTTTTCCGCTTTTCGAGTTGAAAGTGAGTGACAAAAAGAGCAAACACGCAGACAGCCTCTTACCAATATGCTTTTTATGCGTTTTTGCATATATGCAAATTGCAAAAACGCATATTGGGAAGAGGCTGT